CCCCCCCCAATTTCAATTGGATTCAATTGACTGAGGTGGCAGTACAGCTCAGTGGTAGAGCACACGCTTAGCATGCACAAGGTCCTGGGTTCAATCCCCAGCATCTCCCCTAAAAGTAAACCTAATTACCTCCCCATCAGAAAAAAAAAAAGGAACACAAATCAACTGACTGAAGATACAGGAACTTTCATAACTGTCTTACTTTTGTGGGGGGGGAGGATGTGGTTCAAGTTTAAAATTATTTCTGAACATTGGGCCTCCCTTCCTAGTTACTGAGACTCCTCATCAAACCGTCTCTGCACAAATGGTCAAGGGCTCCTTGAGGACAGGTCACTTGGCCTTCCTCCACGTAGGACCAGGCACTCAGCACCTCCAACAGTTTACATTCTGAGTCAGTCCCCTGGGTCCGGTGGCCATGACAGTGGAATTGTTTGGCCTGGCTATTTTAGACTCTGGGCTCAGAACTGCCAAATGTAGAAGATTTTTCTCTTTCATTTGCCTTAATCTCTTTGTCCTCATTCCAAGTGACCTTTTACAAATGAGAGTATGAGACAGGGCCTTTTAATGAAGGGACGGGCAGGAGAGAGGAAAGAGTGAATCAGAGGCACCCTTGTGTCTTCTGGCTCTGGGAGGGGTTCAGAGAGCTATGCAGGTATAAGAGGAGGTTGGGGAGCTGGGATATTTGTTAGAAATCATTGGTCTGATGACATGGGGAGAAGAAACAATTTATACAAAGAAAAAAAAAGAGTTTAAGGAAATATGCTAACAAAGGTCAGAATTAAAACTTTAAATAAAATGGTTAATTACTTTTATAATAAAAATAATCTTCATTTAAACTAAGTCTTCTAAACAAATAATCTATATACAAAATAGAAAGAGATTCACTGACATAGTAAACAAACTTATGGTCACCAATGGGGAAAAGGCGGGAGGGATAAATTAGGAGTTTGGGATTCACAGACACACACTACTATATATAAAATAAGCAAACAACAAGGTCCTACTGTGTAGCACAGGGAACTCTATTCAATATTTTATAATAACCTACAATGAAAAAGAATATATGTGTGACACGTGATTGATAACTGAATCACTGTGCTGTACACCAGAAACTAACACAGCATTGTAAATCAACTGCACATCAATTTAAAGAAAAAAACAATGCAGTATCCTTTCAAATCTCAGAAAAAATAAATAAACTAAGTCTTCTACGATACAGATGGTAGTAAGTACACGCCAAGATGCTCATCATCATTACTAATGAGGACGACGTAAGTCAAAGTCACAGTGAGGCCACCCTCTCCAAGAAGGACTCGAGCACCCTGTGGAAAGCTGGCCACATCAAGCTCTAATGGGGATCCTGAGTCACCAGCTCCCTTCCACATGGCTGGTGGGAAAGAAAGACCCTGAGGCCACTTTAGAAAACATTTTGGCAGTTTATCATAAATTTAAACACACATGACCCACTCCATAGTTTTTATCTAACAGAAATGAAAACATGTCCACTCAAAAAACCATACATGAATGTCTGTTGGCAGCTGTATCATAATCACCCCAAACTGGAAATGGCCCAAACGTCCATGAGCTGGGAGATGGACACACAAATCGTGGTGCAACCCCCACGCACTGGAACACCACTCGGCAGTAAGAAGGCACAAAGCACTGACACACGGAACAGCGTGGATGAGCCCCACGAAGCCAAGTGAAAGAAGCCAAACACAAAAGGCTGCGTTCCATGTTATTCCATTCACGTAACATTCCAGAAAAGGGCAAGCCGCAGGGAGAGAAATCAGATCAGTGGTTTCCAGGAGGGGGTGGGAGGGGAGAAGACTGACCACAAAGGGATAAGAGGAAACATTTGGAGAGGATGGAGCTGTCTCTGTGGTACACTGATGATGCTGGTGGTGAAATAAATATAATCAAAACTCATCAAACTGTGCATTTTAGGGTGAATTTTGTTCTAAGAAAACTCTACCTCAATAAACCTGACTTTAAACAATGAACCTTCCGGGCCTGTGACTGAGTTTACGGAGTATCATGTCATCATGGGAAAAGCAGGAGATTCAAGGCCAGAGAGGAGCGAGTTCCTGCCCTGGCCCTGCCACTCCAGCTGCGTGCCTCTTGGAGGGTCCCTTTCCCTCTCTAGACCTCAGCTTCCTCCCATGTAAAGTGGGGGGACCAGTGATGGTAAGGGCGGCATGTCACGGTGCAAATCTGAACTGCTGTTTAAGCCAGTGATGCCCAGAGGTGCCCATGTTGCTGCAGAAGTTTACAAAGTGGGTCAGCGCTAAGGACAGAGTTGCAACTCAGCCTCCCGCTCCCGGTCCAGTGCTGTCTCCCCGACGCCAGACATCCCTTCTCTTGTGTTTGCCCTGTGCACAGCGCACAACATGACCCTTGGCCTACCCAACCTTCCATTTCCTATCTCCATTGAATTAGATGTGGGCTCGCTCTTGGATGCCCAAGCCCCATCTCGATGTCAAACCATCTACCCTTGGGGGCATCTGGAGGGGTGGTCCTGAAGTGCGGGTTCTCCCTGAGCCTGGCTGGCCTGTAGCCACCAGTGGCCACCTCGCCCTGACCCCTGCCGCCCCGCACTCACCTGATGAACGTGGGAAAGAGCTCGGCGTTCACCAGACACACCATCTCGAACACGATGGTGATTCCCATTCGGCCAACACAAGCCACCACAGTACTTAGCCAGTGTAGATCTGGGGAGGAGACAGAGGGTGTGCAAAGCCAGTAAGGACTGTGCCCACAGAGTTGCTATGAGAAGCCACCGTGGGAAGTGTGGACTTGAGAGCTGGAAGGGCTGGAAAGACAGTCTTATCTACCCCTTTCATTTTTGGATAAGTAAACTGAGTCCTGAGAGAGTTGGGGGCCTGATAACGTTGCATAAGGGAAGAAAGGGCTTTTTTGTTTGTTTGTTTTGGGTTTGTTTGTTTATTTATTTATTTATTTATCTATTTTAATGGAGGTGCTGGGGATTGAACCCAGGACCTCGTGCATGCTGAGCACGTGATCTACCCACTGACCTCCACCCTCCCCACCCAGAATGGGCTTTCCAAATCCCAGCTCCACCTCCAGTCAGCAGTGGGACTTGGCAGACTGTTTACTTCTTCATGCCTCAGTGTCCTCAGCAGCAAAATGGGAATAATTTCACAGCTGTGAGACTTAGAGAGAATACATGTCAGTGTGCACCATGACGACTCATGCATTGAGGTGGGAGTGTGCATGGGGCCATCCATTTTGGAAAGCTGTCTGGCTCTATCTACAAAATCTAACATATGCCACCCCTCAACCCTGCAAGGGAAATGAGCAGCCATGAAAAGATATGTCAGAATGTTCACTGCAGCCTTAGCCCCAATAGACAGACACGGGAGACCACAGAAGTGTCACTAAGAGTGGTGTGGATAAACGGGTACTTGCACAATGCGATGCAGCACAATAATGAAAAAGGATGGATTCCACTCTCATGTGACGACATGGGCGAACCTCACAGACGTAAATGAGAGAATGAAATGAGACAATACAAAGGGTATGTACAAATGGAGCTGGTTGTATGATGTTCAAGAACCATCAACACTAATCTGCGGTGGCAGAGGCCAGAGTAGTGGTGACCTGGGCAGGGGTGGTGAGCAGCGATGGTCAAGGGGTGTGAGGAAACCTTCTGAGTTTCTTTATCTTTATTGCGATACGCAGGCCCACATATATGTAAACATCCATCAGCTTGAACACTTATAATGGGCTCATTGTATGTATGTTATACCTCAATTTAAAATTTAAAAAAAATACTTGTAGACTAAGGTCTTTGTTTCTGTTCTAGGGGCAAGATTCCCGAGGTCCGATTACCTGGAAGATGATGAAGTGGACCACTCACCATGTGGGACAAAGACCATGATGAAGCAGGCTGCCCCAGCCACCATATTGGACAAGGCCAGCAGGTAAATGCGGCCGAAGCGGTCGATGGTGAAGAGGATGATGAGGGCCGCCGGGAATTCAACCAGGGCGGAGTAGAAGAAATCCAGGTAGAGGTTCCCACCGGTGGCTCCCACGTGCAGGATGAGGCCCTGGTAGAGCACAGAGCTGGTGAACCTGAGCAGAGAGAAGTCAGATCAAAGGCAAGCGCCACGGAAGAGGGGGCTCAGGATCTGGCTGGGAGGATAAAGGACCCTGCAAGCTGGAGAGTAACATGTGTCACCTGATTTAGAAGGTCCTAGAGCAATATGAGAGGAAGATCAAAATCATGAAGGGTGTCCTAGAGGATGAGAAGGTCCTTTCACAAGGTATGTGAGAGGATAACTTACAGGATATGCCCACAATTCTGAGGGACGGCAGATGACGATTGCTATTCTTTACTCTGTACCAAGGTGCTGGCCCTACTATGAGCATTGCACATGCCCTACCGCATCGGATGTTCCAATGGCCACCAAGTGGAAGAGCAGGAGAAGGCAGAGGTAACCAAGCAGTTTCAGGACTCAGACTGCTGTATGAGCTGTGTGACTGCAAGTGAGTTAACTAACCTCTCTGTGCCTCAATTCTCTCATCTGTGAATGAGATAGGAATAGCACCTACCACACTGGTTTGTCTCGAGCATCCACTGAGGTAATGGACAAAAAGTGCTTGGCACAGTTCCTGGCACAGAGTGAGCCATCGGTGAAGATGAGATTTTATTGTTGTCATTATGGTCTGTCCAAGGGCAAGGGTCCAGAGCACAACAAGGTGGAGAAGCTGGCTAAATCTTCCCGACTGCACAATGGCACTCCCTCCACACATCACACTGTCTTTAAGGAGCATTATTCCCTAACTCTCTTTTAACCCATATCCCACTGCACGACCCCTTCATCCACATTCGAGGACAGAAGAGCAATGTTACAGATTTGGGCACACAGATCAATGGGGACCAGCTAAGTCACTCTCACTTGGGGGAAGACTTAGAGTCCTGTGTGTCACTTTTGGGGAAACTCTGTAATTTTGGAAAATTTAACGATTCTACTGGTACAGTTGTTCCTCATTATCCATGGGGGATCAGTTTAGGACCCACCAGATACCAAAATCTGCAGACGCTCAAGCCCCTCGTATAAAATAGCATGGGATTTGCATATAACCTCCACACCCTCCCCTGTACTTGAAATCATCTCTAGATTACTTATAATACCTAGCACAATGTAAATGTCATTGTAGATACAATGCAAACAATATATAAATACTTGCCAGTGTGCAGCAAATTCAAGTTTTGCTTTTTAGAACTTTCCAGAATTTTTTTCAGATAAATTTGACCTGCAGTTGGTTGAATCCCCAGATGCAGAACTGGCAGATATGAAGGACTGACTGTTATTTACACTGTGAGATGACATTTTGGTGGATAAGAAATCACTTTCTTATGGAAATGCCAATTGCTTATCAGCTCCAAAACTGAGATCACAGCGGGTGCTTCTCATTCATACACCCCCTGGTTTTATAAGGCTGCTCCCAGAGAAGCATTGGCTGCTTTTGTTTCTCATCCCAAATTATTCCTGATTGGACCAAAGGGCCAAAAATACAAGAAGGAAGGCACTGGCTGCAACTCGGTGAGTTTAGATGAGCCTGGGTGCCCCTCCATGCCCCCTAGGTTAGCTGGCTAAATGAGAACAGTTACCTTTCATCCCGAAAGAGACTGATGTAAGAGAAAGGAATGTAGAACTCTAGATTTTCCTGTCCCCCTCCTCCAAAAAACTCCAAACCAGAAACAGTTAACAAGCATACAGGGCTGCCATCTTTTGGTAGAACCTAGGAATTGCATGTACATGTCAAAATTAGCCATTTGTGGTTGCTGGGCATTTCCTGTATCTACATCTGTTAGATACTGTTCTAAGTTCTTTACACATATTATTTCATTAATTCTCCCAACATCTGTATGAGTAGGTACCTTCATGACCTCCACTGGATGATGAAGTCAGTCTTACTGCTGACCTCCCATATATATGAACTTCTTCTTACTAAACTGAGGCCTTTCCTCAATGATGCAACCCTCCAGGGAGAAATAAGGGTGACTTTTTAAGAGCCCTTTGATCCTTCGAAAACATCTTGAAATTCCTTTCCATACTTCTGTTTTTCCACCTGAGTTGTTCCACTATCTTTAATTGTAGCCCGGCGTGTGGGCGAGCACACCGATTCCGTCTGGGGACAGTTGTGGCGGAGGCCCCTTCCTTACCACAGATACATCAGGATGAAGGTGTACTTCCTCAGGCGCGCTGTGCGGAACAGGTCTGTGAACGAAGGGCTCAGCTTTTCGGTGGCGTCCTCTGGGAGAGAGAGCATCTAGGAGGGGGTCAGAGCATCAGCCGCATCCAAGCTGGCGCGAGCGGGGAGAACCATTAGACCCCTTTCCCCATCCTGCTCCTTCCCCGGTGGGCCATCACCTGGATGCTGGCTGCACCCATCCCCCCAAATATCACCAGTGCCCTCCTGCATCCCAAGGCAGCCGCACAGGCACGTTCTAACTCCCAAACCCAATACAAGGTTCAGTGCCGCGAGAAGCCCCTTGCTAGTTTGTCACCTTTAGATCAGCAGAAGGCAGTTTCCCATTCTTTTGGGCTATGCGGTCCATGATCTTGACTGCTTGAGCATTTCTCTTTTGCGATAACAGCCATCGGGGAGACTCAGGCACATACCTGTGGACACAGATCACCACCACTTGGCATTTTCCCCCACCACCCCCAGCTCGTCTGGTGTCAAGTCCTGATGGGAGTGAAGCTGTTGCTCAGAGCAGCCCACCATCCTCACATCGGGAAAGAAATTCCTCAAGCAGCTGGTGGATGAGGATCTGGGGTCACTGTGTGCTGCCCAGACAGCCTGCCTAGGAGCTCTGTAGGTCATTCATCCTCTTAGGGCCCCCTGCTAAGGTTTACAGACCAGAAGAGAACCACAGCCTCCTAGGTAGCCTTCATTCAGTGGGGCAGGGGTCCCAGTACCTCCTCGGAGCCAGCAACCATGTCCTCCTCTGGGAAATTTCTCATGCATAATAGATGCTCCATGTGCCCCACACTGGGGGGTTAAGCAGATGTCCCCATGGAACACAAGTGCTGTTGAACAAGTCTCAAAATATTTCCAAAACAAAATAAACTATATTCACTTTCCTTTAACATCAGATAGACACCATCATGTCTATTTCAAACGGGACAAGGATATCACAGCTCAGAGGCTGGAAATCTCTGGAATAAGGTCTTCTGAAAACCCACAGGCACAGTCTCACCCACGCAGCCATCAGGATGCAGCCAGGGGTGTCTGTCACTGGAGGGCCCCCTTGTTTCACACTGACGAGGAGAGAGCGGGCTCTTCCTGAGCATGAGCATCCTCAGAGACCAGCCACGGTTCTGAGAGATCGGGTGGACTAGGTGTCACCCAGAGATAAGATTTGTCCTCAGCAAAATGGTGACAGAAGCTGCGTGGACAAGATATTTCTCTCCACACCCCTCTCTGTTGTCCCCCCTTCCTTCTTCCACAATAAAAGCTCATCTGTCCAGCTGCTTACCCCTTCAGGCCCTGCCAACGGCTGACTGTTCAAAAGGTTATTGACTTACCTGAACTGCTTTTGCTTCACAAGGGCTCAGCTTGCACATTCCCCAGTGACCCTTTCATTCATCCATTCCTCATTCACTCATTCATTCACTCAGCAAAGAGCAATGCCTCCTATGTGGCTGGTTGGACTTTTGTCTGACTTGCAGCATCGCTGGCCTCTATCTGGGGGATGCAAATTTAAAGCAGCTCCATTTGAGGGCAGCTCCCAGCATAATGAGGGCCACCCTTGAATAGGACACCCCAAATGGCACAGATGGAGGTAAACTCTGGTCCTGCACGTGGGGCTGCCCTGGCTGTTGGGAAGACGGGGTCCAGGAGAGGTCACATACCAGAAGCCGAGCAGGAGGAGGAAGACCGGCAGAGAGACGGCCAGCTGCAGCCTGCGCCAGTGAGGGACAGCGTAGGCCAGCCCGGACAGCAGCACCAGCCCCACGCTGAATGCCGCCTGGTAGAGGATCGCCACCGTTCTTCTGTAGCCCAAGCCCACAAATTCTGTGACTGAAACAGGAGAGATGCCAGCTCGTGGGCTCGGAGGAGGAGAGAAGTCCGCTGGCGCGCTCCTATCCACCTCCGTGCGCCTCTTCGTCTCCTTCCCCGAACGTCCCCCTGTCCTCCCATCCATCCGTCCTCCAAATATCCTGCAACCCCTCAGCTCCCCGAGACGCCCAGCTGTTCTGTGCTGACTCTTCTCTCTCTGCCCCCTTTTGAGTCCCCCGTGTGCAATCTGTTGTTCTCCTTTTCACGCTGCGGGGCTCTCCTCCCCAGAGCCTCCCTCCAGGCTCCAGGCTGCCCTGGAATAGTTTCCATGATCCCAGACGTGCTAGTTAACTTCACCAATATCTTTGGGGGACCGCCAGGACCTGGCCCTGTTGTGAGGGGTTGGATGCATCCCATCATGAGCTCCATCCTCGGCAGGGTCCTTCCCTCCTAACCTCACATTCTCGAGGGAGGAGAGACAGCGGACACGCAAGTGAGTTCATCACACCCGGGTCAGAGCTCTATGCGCGCTGTGCATGGAGAAAAGGTACATGGTGGAAGGGGAATCCGGAGGTCCCGGGGGAGGGGCTGCAGTTTTTCAGAGTGCGGTGGGGTGGAGCTCGTGGGGGATATTTGAGCCAAGACCTCCAGGAGGTGAGGGAGGAAGGGGGAAGCGAATTCCAGGCAGAGGGAACAGCGCCTGGGCAGCGGGGCAGTGTGCCCTCCTGTGGGGCATCAGAGGCAAGGCCAGAACATTCCCTTCTACTGTGGAAAATGCAGAGCCATTGCGGCCCAGGAGTGACACGATCCCATGCCTGCAGCCTGTAGGTGCCACAGGGAGACCCAGGTGGAGGTGAGGCAATGGGACCCGGGTGGAGGCAGCAGGGGACTGAGACAGGTGGGATTCCGGATGTATTTTTAAAGTAAAGCCGACAGCATAACTAGGGGAGGGGCGGGGGCAGTTGGTGCACAGGTGGAACAGGCTTGGGGATGGGGGAGGACAGCCTTCTGGGTCCTGCCACCTTGAGGGGTCGGGGAGATGAGGAGGAGCCAATAACGCAGACTGAGCAGGAGCTGCGGCCCAGGGCCCGGGAGTGTGTGACCCTCAGGGAAGCAGGGACACGGTGGGCGGAGCGGAAGCCAGGGGGCGCTCTCACTCCATAGCGGACAAGTAAGTTGCGATGTCTGTCTCCCTTTCTCTCTGGCCTTAGAGCTCCTTGAGGGAGGAAGGGCGCCTTATCTACCTTGGGCCCCCCAGCCCTGCACCAGTGCCTGCCATATGGCCACAGCCACGCTGCAGGGGCAAGTCTGGGGCGGGCACTGCTCAAAGCTACACCTGCTGCAGTTCATCTACCTCAGGACATTGCCCTTTCCACTTGGAGGCTACTGAGGCTCAGAGAGGTTATGGAACTTTCCCAAGACCACACAGCTGGTCAGCATTGTGTGTGGATTTGACCTTAAATTAATCCTCTTTACTATGTGCCAAGTAGTGCGTGTTCAGCATATAGATGGCTGGGCTGTCAGTGCTGAACTCAATAAATTTAACCAGCACGTTCAGTTCATGGTTTCTTGAGGGAAGAACATGATTTTTCTTGGCCCAACTATTTTTCAGAAAGCCAAGCCATAGGACATTTTCAGAGGTGACAAGACGTGACAAAAGGTGGATTATCCTCACTGCTGTCTGACGTGCCGTCCACAGGCTGAGGGACGCACGGATGACTCTTTGATACTTTCTTCTAAGAAAATGTTCATTTTCTATTCCTACCCTTCATAGAAAATTTGAAAGAAAAAAATTAGTATGTGGAACTACATTGCTTTACACCTCAATGTTCTAAATCATTCTGCTTCTCTCTTCTTTTATTTCCTCTTATGCTTTCTAACTCTTGAGTGTCCTTCAAACCAGTTGAGTTTGTTGGGTTTCTTTTGAGAGATGCTGCTTCTTTCATATTTAAAATGTTAGGGAAAAAAAACACTCTCCTACCTGTCTCCCCTTCCTGCACACCCCCCACTGCTCTTAACACATCACATGTGATCTTTTTGCTCCCAAACAGATCAGTTGATATGGAAAGATTGATCTATTTAAGTGCTTAAGTGTCTCTCAGACCAAAAAAAAAAAAAAAAAGAGCAAGAGAGAGAAAAGGAGGCCATCCTGATACCATGCCAGCCCCAGTCGCACAGACAACAAACATAGCTAGAGTGACCACGCTTTCTCTAGACCCTGCAACTATCACCCCCACCAAAAAAGACGCACCTCCACATTTGGCTTCATTCCATTCTACCCCACTACCTGACCTCTGCGGCTCCTTCAAGTGCGTGGGAACCCCAGGCCAGCAGGCGCTTACTCAGGGTGTAGCCAGCCGTCCAGTTGCCCTTGCTGACCAGCCCCTGCATCAGGCGGAAGAGCAGCAGGGAGATGTAGTCTGGAGCGACAGCCGTCAGGACACCCAAGACGGCGTTGATGAGGGTGGTGGCCAAGAGGCATACTTTACGGCCAAACCTTCAGAGGCAAGAAGACAGGGAGGTAAGATGAGGGTGTTGAGTGTTTGGAAGCATGATGGGACACCAGGGGTCTCTATCTGGAGACAAGATACTGCTTTCCTGAGGGACTATGGAGTCCATTGGACATCACTGCCCCTTCTCAAAGCTTGACTTGGTCCACCCTCAGCAAACAGTGACCAGCGGCTCTTGCGCGGTTATTTAGGTCACTCCAAAGAGGAGTCCTGGTCGCTCTCAGAAACATAGCAACACAGCCAAGGATGAGTGGCCTCCATCTGACTTTCCCCATCCTCACACTCATCTCCTCTCATTATCTTTGTATATAACAGAGTGTATTATCACTAACAGATTTAACAGAGTGCACCAGAAACCAGGCTTTTCCCCCCACATACTTAGTCTTATCAATGGTCATAAAAGTTTTTCTGGGAAAATCTTCAGTCCTAATAGTTTAATTTTTGAGAATTTTTTTTTCTTTCCTTTTTCCATGAGTAAAATGGGCAAATTATTTGCTAAAACTTTATCCCAGAATTGTGCTTAATTGATTTGATCTTTTAAATCTTACCCCACATTCTCTGGCAGTAAAGCAAGGAGGAGAGGGACCAACCTCATGTGTGGTTACAGTGAGCTCATCCCACACCCCGGATCCCTCCCCAAGCCGAGCAAGCCCGCTGCTCTTCTCGGTCATCCTCCTTCCTGGCTGCCAGTCTGCCTCCCTCGTTTATCTACATCATGTCTTCTTGCCTCAAACCTCCGAATATAAGAACTTCTTGTCAGAAGCCCACATCTTCTCAGCCAAGAATGTTCAAACGTAACAGTCCAGTGTCCATTTTCTCCATCGTTTCTCCTGCGTCTCCTCCCAAAGGCAGCCCCACCCACTGCACTCAGGCCCAGCCCTTGACTGTCCCCGTTGATCCTTCACTCCCTCCGCAATACTGTTCTCATCCTGGACCTTTCATCTCTCTATGTCATCATTTGCATCTGTCTTTTACAGACAACTTGTTTTAAAGAGTTGTCCACGCAATGATCCAAAATCTATGAGACACAGCAAGAGCAGTTCTAAGAGGGAAGTTTATAGTGACACAGGCTATACCTCAAGAAACAAAAAAAAATCTCAAATAAACAACCTAACTTTACATGTGAAGGAATTAGAAAAAGAAAAACAACAACAAAAGCAAAAACCCCTAAGTTAGTAGAAGAAAAGACATCATAAAGATCAAAGCAGAAATAAGTGAAATAAAGAAAAAAATGCAATAGAAAAAGATCAATGAAACTAAGAGCTAGTTCTTTGAAAAGATAAACAAAATTGATAAATCTTTAGCCAGATTCATCAAGAAAAAAAGATAGAGGGCCCAACTGAATAAAATCAGAAATGAAAAAGAAGTTACATTTGACACCACAGAACTACAAAGGATCACAGGAGACTACTACAAACAATTATACACCAGTAAAATGAGCAACCTAGAAGGAAAGGAAAAATTCCTATAAATATACAATCTCCTCAGACTTAATCAGGAAGAAATAGAAAATATGAACTGACTAATTACCAGTAATGAAACGAAATCAGTATTTAAAACAACAACAACAACAACAACAAAAAACCCTCCCAACAAACAAAAGGCCAGGACCAGACAGCTTCACAGGTGAATTCTACCAAACATTTAAAAAAGAGTTAACACCTATCCTTCTTAGACTATTCCAAAAAAACTGAAGAGGAAGGAATGCTTCATTCTAAGAGGCCAGCATCACCCTGATACTGAAACTAGACAAAGACACCACAAAAAAAGACACTTTCAGGCCAGAAAGTAGGCATAGAGGGCATACACCTCAACATAATAAAGGCCATATTTGACAAGTCCACAGTCAAATTTATACTCAATGGTGAA